ACCTGGTCATCTAATCCACACTTCCTCAATTGGGCAGCAAGAATATTTCAGCTGGAAGGGACCTCCAATGATCATCTAGTCCAACTGCCTGCCCACTTCAGGGCTGACCAAAAGTTAAAGCCAGTTAACGCCAGACATAGAACTAAGGACAAAGCATGTAAAATGAATCTCCAAATCCCCACCTTTTCTCCTTTATCCCTCTCTATCTTGTTTTCTTGTTGTGTTTGTTTTTTGGGGTTTTTTTTTGTGGAGTTTTTTTGAGCAGTTTAACCAAATTAACAAATAATTATGCTATGGTATTAAAATGTAAAAAAGAAATACAACCTTATTAAATAAATCCATTCCATTTAGAAAAATATCCTGATTTTGAAAACAACAAAGTACAAAACTCAGTAATTCCATTACAAAATTTCTAGTCTTAATATTTCAATAATTAGATATATTGTAATGAAAAAAAATGACAACCAATCACAGAAAGCTAATAGGAATAAACTGGCTTTCTTGAGAAAAAAAGCAAGTCTGTCTACAATGCCAGGAGTAACTAGAATGAAGAAAGGATATAATAGTATACATTAATTCCAATTCCGCAATTATATTCTGATTTTTTTGTATCTAAGTTTGAAACCGTATCTATCCTACAGTGTATCCTTTCTGATAAACACAAATCCTGAATAAATACTGAATGTGCTTTCAATCTTGACTAAAATAATAAATCAAGTTCCATGGGGTTTAAACAAATTTTGCAATATAACGATGCCACTCCTACCGTATATTACCAACATTAAGAAAATTAATAGCAAATAAAAATAAATCCTCAACTTCAAAATTTACCTTAATCCTGCATCTTCATAGTGAGGATGATTTACAATTGGTCTAAGTGTAGACAATTTAACACTTGCCATTGTAGGCATTGCTCCTGCAAAAACTGCATCTGAAATACAGAATGAAAGGCATGTTTGAAATGAAGAATCAAGCAGTAAAAGCAGAGAAGCAAATCTTCAAATATCTAAACAGTAATCCTGTAGAAAAACACAGAGGGTAGTCTCTTTGAAAAGGCCTTATATGGCACCAACAGGAGATGCAAAAAATCACTTCATGGGTTTTTTTTAAACCCTTGAACTCAGTATAAGTCATTAGGTAACTAAACATCTGAGAATGGAGATGTTTCTTATTTTTCTTGAATGGGTAGAATAACATATGCATTATGACACTGTGTTTTTATTTGGCACTTCTTACACCATTGTTAAATGAGCAATAAAGGCTCAGTCCCCTTTGGCTTGGAAGTATTTTCCTGCTGAAAGATAACTACATTGTTTTCAGCTAGTTTTCTGACACTTTTACTCATTTTAGTAAAAAGCCAGGTGCAACTTCAATACACACACTCTGAATTCTCTTCTAGCAAAATGATGATCATGGACCCACATACAGGACCAGTGTCATTTAAGGAAAAACCTATTATAATTGGACTTTGAAAATATTTTTGTTGTAGAAATACTACACCAGTGGCTAGAGAACCTCCAGACTGGCAGCCTGGAGTCTAACAGAGCAAGTTTTTGGTATATTTTTTTTTTCATTTGAGATAGCTTCTACATGGACAAGTACATGTGACTAAACGATGGCATTAGGAGAGTCCTAAGGTAAAGCCACAGATTGTAGCAATACCTCTGCAGTGATTCATACCAAGTTCTACAGTGACATCCCACAGTAAATGCGGAATGTCATAGAATCATAGAATGGTTTGAATTGGAAGGGACCTTAAAGATCATCCAGTTCCAACCCCCCTGCCAGCAGCAGGGACACCTTCCACTAGACCAGGTTGCTCAAAGCCTCATCCAACCTGGCCTTGAACACTTCCAGGGAGGAGGCATCTACAACTTCCTTGGGCAACCTGTTCCAATGTCTGACCACCCTCACAGTGAAAAACAAACCCATTTACCCTTGTTTTGTCATTAACTGCCCTTAGGAAAAGTCCCTCCACAGCTTTCTTGTAGGCCTCCTTCAAGTACTGGGAGGCCGCTATAAGATCTCTCTGGAGCCTTCTCTTTTCCAGGCTGAACAGCCCCAACTCTCTCAGCCTGTCTTCATAGGAGAGGTGCTCCAGCCCTCGGATCATCCTGGTGACCTCCTCTGGACTAGCTGCTCCAGGTCACTCTTGTGATGGGGTCTCCAGAACTGGACGCAGTATTCCATATATTCATATATTAATAATAATATCATATATTATTAAATATTTTACCTTGTCTGGTGTTGACTTTTATCCACTCTAAAAGTTCCTCCTGTGGCAAATTACTAAATTCTCCCATGATGTTCCACTGAGTTTGAAGGTTTGCTGATCCCTCTATTGCCATCAATGCTAAAGTAGCAAAGACCAATGTTTTGGGCTGGATTTTACAGAAGAGCCATCCAAACAACTGAAATGCAAGAATGGATTAATTTCTAGACAACAATTCTGTCATGTTGTAAGCAGCACAATTCATTTTTATTTCTCTATAAGGGATCTAACATATATTACAATATGAAACATCTCTGCTGTTGCTTCTCCACTAAAGTTCAGTGAGACCTCATAAGAAGTATATGGTTTTATTGCCTGCAGGGTATTAGATTCGTAACTCTACCAAAAAAAAAGAAAACTTACATTAATGCAGCCTTTAAAGTTGTAGTTCAAATGTCATTTTTGCAAGTAAAGACGATTCAATAATGCCAACTGCATTTTAACAGTTTTTTATCTCCTATTTACATCAAGAGTTTCTAGCTGTAGTATATGGATTCAAGATTGTACTGCAAACTTGCGAAAACATATCAGAAAAGCACTCAGGAGATACAGGGTTAATGTTGCTCTATAACCTACTCTTCCCTTTCTTGAACTGATAAAGATGGCACTTGCATTTTTTCCTAAAGATAGTTTGCTGGAAGCTCTAAGCAAATACTCATAAATATGTGAAATAGGTAGTTAAGAAGAAAGAAGTATCAAATTTGCTACGCTGAAGTTTAGTTTGAGCAATAACACTTTATTTCATCCATAGCTGACCTTAACCTTAAATAAGACAAAGTATGAATTACTTTGTCTTATTTAAAATTACTTTTTTTCCCCAAGCTATTGTTAGTTAGAAGGCGTCACATTTCAAAAATATCAAACCTGCAATAAATAAATACATTTCAGAGTACCTTTACTCATTTTTTTTTTAACTAAAGCATTAAATGATAAAATAAAGTTTCACAGTAAAACCTCCCACTAGGCTGACTTCGCCAATTACATAGTGTATGTTATCTTTGTTATAAACTAACCGTAAACTACTTTAGATCATTAAAACTCTCAAGCCACCTCTCCAATAAATACAGTGTACTCTACTCTCATCCTCCAAGACTTGCTAACACTCTAGCAAGAACAGCAATACTATCAGGGAAGCTTAATATAATACTAAATATGCCTGACCACTGTGTAGGTCTGGAAGGATGAAGGGAAATTAATTCATTTGTACACTGCTCTATAGAAGCAAACTTCCTTTTTACCAAGAGCTGCAAAAATCCACTTCAAGAACATGTTAGAACTTTGGAATTCTGTATTGAGTTTCATGACTTTTCAAATCAAAGAAAATCACATTCCTATCATGCTTTTATAAAACCTCATAAATGTTCAAAGTATCTAAATTTATCATGTTTTTGTTTACAGAAAGAGCCTAGAATGGCCAAACATATACACAATGCAAAAGAAGCGTTTCTTTTATGGGATGCTGTTCCTCATGTGGTTTTTATAACAATTCAAGGGGTTTTGGTTTTGTCACATAAATACGTCTTAACGTATTATTTAGCTGGTCTTTCTCCAGCTATTTTTCTTTGCTTTCAAAATTTCCACTCAGGATAGTATAATTCCTCCTTAACAGAAGGATGAAATGTGTAGATGTAATAAACAGTTATGACTTTTATTGTCTATCAGGTGCCACAAGCTGCAATACTGAGGTAATGGAATAGATTCATGCAATAGGCTGAAAGAACACAACATACAAAATTCCTTTTCCATGTGCAGAATAATTCTAGTTTGTCTTTTGTCTGTTTGTTCATTTCTGGTTTGTGTTACAAATGTCCATCTCAGGCTGACTGTTCACTACTAAAAGGATATATTTTGAATTTTAATTAACACGTTATCTATCTATAGCCTCATAATAAATTAGTTATACTAACACACCACTGCAGGTAAATTTTCATGGTCTGCTAGAGGAAAGGATAGTGTTGACCTCAATTACAATGAGATAATTGCATATGTTAAATTTGCTTAAATTTTTCTAGCATGTGCAAAAACAAATTGTTGCTTATTAACTTATCCTTTATGAAAACACCTAATACTTTGCATAACAATAAATGTACCAAGTGTTAATCAATCATTTGGTCACAAGTCCCATCTGCCCCTTCTCATCTCCTTCCATCACAGCAATTCTTCTGAATCAATATAGCCTGGTCAGATTTCTCAACTTCAAAATACTACTTTGGCTCAGCAGAAAAAGCTCACTAAGAAACACTTGATATTTTCCTGACCATACAAAAAAAAAAGGGGGGGGGGGGGGGGTTCTTATCCCTTTGCTTGCTTAAGTCAGAGCAGTCTTAGAAGTGATCTGATCGATTGCAGGCTCAACAGCCTTATGGGCCAGGGTTTCTCTCTCATGTTGAGGCCAGTCTTGTATTACCTGGAAGATCATCAGCTGCTCCCTACTAAGGGAAGTGTACATCAGTCAGATCAGAAAAAATCTGGCTTGTCTTTTACAGGTATCAGTCAGCACCAGCCTAAGGAACACAATGAACAGACCAAAGAACCTTCACTGGTAACAAGAGAAGGGAACAGATTCTTAACACTGGAAGTTCCACACAAACTTAAGGAAAAACTTCTTTACTGTGAGGGTGACAGAGCACTGGGACAGGCTGCCCAGAGAGGTTG